TTGTTTGATGTTATTTGTAGTTTATGTGTTTGTTCTTGTACCCGCACCTGCCAAATCTGCCAAGAAACTCTCTCAAGAATCTCGCAATTGCTCGATCCTCCTGTAGACTTTTAGGGTCCTTGTGGAGTGAATCATACTGGGCCGCAATCGCATCATAGTCACAGCTGCCATAGGATGCTGACCCCTCTACGACTTCCATGATTGGATTCCTAGTGAAGGAAGATGTTGCAATGGCAACACAAAATCGGGCGTATTTTAACGGTCTGAAAACTGCAAAACGGCTGCGAAGATATCCCACTCATCATCATGGACCCACATTTTGACCTGTAAAATTCACATGAAATCTTCTAATCTTGGACCCCAGTTTGTAGGCTTTTCGCGGGTTCTCTTGTTGAAACTAGGGAGAGGAACCCTCGCAAGCTCCCTTCAGAGGGCCTTGTTGCGCGAACAGGCTGGAAAGCGATGGGTCACTTGTTTTCTTTACAGATTTTACTAACATGGCAATGAAAACATCCCCTATAAAATCCACTTTGATGGCTGGGTTCCAAAGGAAAATCGTTTGATTTACAGAGGAACCAAGGGAGGCCCCAGGACCCTTCCTATAGAAAAATGGTGAGAAGTTGGGGTATGATGCTTGTTATATACATTCCCGTAAGCCAACACAAATGTGCAAAAACCCACCGTGAATCTAGATCATGTTCCCATGGTTTTCACCATGGGTGATCTTATGTTTACCCCAGGGGTTACGGGTAACGATCCAATATGATCCAATATGATCCAATATGATCCAATATGATCCAATATGATCCAATATGATCCAATATGATCCAATCAACTCAGCTTCAAACAGCTCACTTCAGGGATCATCTGGCTATCTTTGGCTGTCACTTTTCTGCGACGCGAGCGTTCAGCGGATGCTCGAAGCACAGCTGGCTTCGAAATGGGACAGTGTGAGCTGAATCATTGGGCCATTGGGCTTGATGCTATCCTTGAACTGGTGAAAAGTGGGGCTTCGGCAAGACATGATCCAACCATATCTCTATTGTTCGAGATGTGGGATATCTATACCAATGGCTACGTCATGACTGGGTCATGTTTGAGGAACAAAATATATTAATATTGTAATGTAAAAAAATATCTAAATTTACAAATGAAAATACATTATATATATATCAGTATAGTAGATTATAGTATAGATACACATATAGATCTAAACATATATAAACGTGGAGCATTTCGATGCATTTCGGATCAAAAAAAGATAGATCGAGAATGATTTGCACAATTGGATTTGATCCTTTTCAAACCCTCTACTCTCATTCAGGTCCAGCTTGTGGGTATCATGCGCGACTCATATGTGGAAAGCGTCCGGGAATATCATTGCGCAGCACAACAATGTTGCAACTGCGAGGGTGACACCTCATCTGTCTCATCTAGGCAGTCTGATAAACCCCGCACCTGAATTAAAGATCGTCAAAGCCACGGCTTCTCAAGATTGACCGTCTGTTCTTGGGCTAAGAGACTTTCTCCGCCATGTTTGGCCTGCAAGAATCTTCCAAACAACATGCTGAACTCTGCAAAGTTGATCAAAGTTGCCGCTAAACTCGACCTTGTTTTTGGCTTCAAAGATCTTGAATGCCCAAAACCAAGCTGAAATCCACCATGTTTACTTCATATATAGATATATAATGAATACAAATATATATATATATATAAACATATATTACCAAGACATTCCCAGATCCTACGTGTCAGCGGCCGCTTTGTCGGCCGCTTTGTCGTCACTTCCTTCTTCGTTGTCAGAGGCCGCCCTAGGGCGAAGTCACTACCCACTGTCAGTGGGTATGGGGCATGTACATCTGTACAACGTATAATTATCAGTATCTGTACTGTAATATTGAATAATATTGTTCATGCTACCATATGCTATCATGCCCTAAATGGATCCAAGAACCTTCTGAGGGAGCGGTTCGGGTATGATTGAGGCGGCGAGGTATTATTTCAGATCCATAGCTATATATCTTGTTTGGCTTCAGTCAGGAAAAAAATCAATGTTAGGTGGAGGGCTACCAGTAGAGGTATGAATTTGTGTAGGTCCAAGCGATTGGGGCGCTCAAGAAGAGAAGACCTGTCTTGAAGGATTGCATCCCCTCAACAAAAGGCATACTAATCCCCCGAAATCACAGAACCATCCTGCACAAACAGTGGTGAACCATGGTTCATGTGGTAAACCTTGGTAAACGGTCTTCATGAACCAGTTTGCAGCTGGGTCGCTCTGCGGCATCGTCGACTTTTTCACTGCTCTCCGTTCGTTGAAGAGCAAACATCAACCTATGACCAGTTGTGTTTGCTGTGCTTCAAAGCACACAGAAAGTGTGGATTCTGAGTTTGTACAAGCCGGTGCCTTCCCCAGTTATTTTTGTTGGTTTCTACGAAGCCCACTATATGAATATAGATCAGATATCAACCGACTTAACATATATGTCAGCACCCTCATTTGCTCACTTACTAACCATGGCCAGATACTTGTATACTATACCAACATGCCAGTCTAAGCACAGGATTTGAAATAATGGTTCGCCGGAGCCTTCCCCGGTTCATATTTGCAATTAGGATTAAGATCGGGGAACAAAAACAACAAGTATACGTATACGGTATGTGTTAAACCTTCAGTGGGTGTATCTATAGTTAGGCCATTATATTGCATTATATTGCATTATAATAGTGCATGATAGTAAACCCAATTAAATCCTGCTGGGAAAAGGGTATCTTCACTAGAGCTGAAGGTATACCCCAGCTGATTATCTGCAAACGCCCCCGCTGACTTCGACCGAGCTATTGAGCCAGTGGCTTTCCCAAGATGTTCATCTACCTATTGTTGAAGGTCTTGGAAAATAAACGATTTTCCAAAGTTATATCCAGTCCAGATACATGCAGAAGTGCTCGTGACTTCATAGTATGTCAACCTACCCTCTGGTAGACTAACCTAGCTATTGAAAATTGTCATTTATAGTTGATTTATAAAGATATACCGAATCGAAAACAACCACCACATCCCAAGTATCACTGACAACAAATCAATACACTGGCTCATGATGCCCCATGTTGGCTGGTGCAATCAATATTAGTTTGGGCTCAAAACCCCATTGTGCCCTACATTCCCATCTGTTGTTTCATAGACTTGGTTCCACTTAGCCTTTTTACCGGCGAACACTCTTATTTCAATATGTTTCAATAGGTAAAGCCAGGGTTTCGGGTCTGATTTTGCCCTTACAGCAACCCATTATTTAAAACTCCCCCAATCTGAAATCAGACATGTTCACCAGGCGATGAAGCCCCCTAGGAAGCATCATGATTTACCCAGCGAAATGCAATTCCACGCAAAAACTGTACCCATGTCCAACCCCAAAAAAATATTTACATATACTTCCCATTCATGTTTGCAACAATGTGCTACATAGCTGTAGACTAACATAGCTGTAGACTAACATAGCTGTAGAAAATCACCATTTTTAGTCGCTGAATGAACTATAGATGGCCATGTTCAATAGCTATGTGACAAATTACCAGAGGGTACCCTCTGGGAAACTAACATAGCTATTGAAAATAGCCATTTATAGTTGATTTCCCTATTAAAGATTGTGATTTTCCATAGTTATGTAAACGTTTACCAGAGGGTAAATCCAATAACCCCATCCCCCCATGACTTCCAGTACCTGATTGTTGGGTTAAATCTTGACCGAGCAGCTGGATCAGAAGCATGAAGGCCACTCCCAACCAACAGGAGAAGACCGAGGATCTCACCTTGACCTCGCAAGAGGATCAATGATGGATGGGGATGACCCGCATAGCCACAGAATAATATAATATATATATATATATGTTACCAGTAGCACCGCACAAGGCGGTGGCGGAAGTTTCAAAAATAGAAAACCTATAGGAGAGGCTGGTTGTTGTGAATCAGGGATGGCAGGGCGAAGCCACTGATGGACTGAAAGGTGCTTGATCTCTCTCACTCTGTCTCTCTCGCTCTCTCTCTCTCTCTCTCTCTCTCTTGCTCTCTTTCTCTGACTATCAACCTACCTACCTACCGATCTATCTTCGTATCTTTGTATCTATCTATCTATCTATCTATCTATCTATCTATCTATCTATCTATCTATCTATCTATCTATCTATCTATCTATCTATCTATCTATCTTTTTTTAGCTGTCTCTCTATCTATTTGTCTATCTGTCTATCTGTCCATCTATCTATCTATCTATCTGTCTGTCTGTCTGTCTGTCTGTCTATCTGTCTAGCCATCTATCTGTCTAGCCATCTATGTGTCTAGCCATCTATGTGTCTAGCCATCTATCTATCTATCTATCTAACTAGCAAACTCTCCATCTACGTGTCTAGCCATCTATCTATCTATCTATCTATCTATCTATCTATCTAGCTAGCAGCTAGCTCTCTATCTATGTATCTACCTATCTACCGACCTATCTATCTATCTCTCTCTCTCTCTCTGTGTCTGTCTATCTACCTGTCTATCTGTAAGCTTCTAAATCAACGTCAAAAACGAAACAATTCTGCGAGACTTCATATTTTTTCCCCACCTGCCAGGTGAGGGTTGTTAGATTTTATGTCAGTTGCCTCCTCCTCCTCCTCCTCCTCCTCCTCCTGCCTCGTCCTCCTCTCCTCCTCCTCCTCCTCCTCGTCCTCCTTGTCATCCTTGTCGTCCTTGTCGTCCTCGTCGTCCTCGTCCAACTGCGACCCGCGATCCACAGTGTTCCCTGCCGGACCTCAAACACGACCATCCACGCCCAGTGTTCCCTGCCGGACCTCAACCACGACCATCCCCGCCCAGTGTTCCCTGCCGGACTTCAACCACGACCATCCACGCCCAGTGTTCCCTGCCGGACCTCAACCGCGAGTATCCACGCCAAGTGTTCCCTGCCGGACCTCATGTAGGAAGATATGGGACAAAGAATGTGCAGAAGAAAGTTAGAAAGAATGTCAGAAAGAATGTCAGAAGATATGCCAGAAGATATGCCAGATAGAATGCCAAATAGAATGCCAGATAGAATGCCAGAATATATGCCAGAAGATATGCCAGATAGAATGCCAGATAATATGCCAGAAGATATGCCAGATAGAATGCCAGATAGAATGCCAGAAGATTTGCCAGATAGAATGCCAGAAAATATGCCAGAAGATATGCCAGATAGATATGCCCAGAAGATATGCCAGAAGATATGCCAGAAGATATGTCAGAATATATGCCAGAAGATATGTCAGATAGAATGCCAGAAGATATGTCAGAATATATGCCAGAAGATATGCCAGATAGAATGCCAGAAGATATGCCCAGAAGATATGCCAGATAGAATGCCAGAAGATTTGCCAGATAGAATGCCAGAAGATATGCCAGATCCAGATCAGAAAGATATGCCAAATAGAATGTCAGAAGATATGTCAGATAGAATGCCAGAAGATTTGCCAGTAAGAAAATGTATAAATGTCATGGTGGGGATCACACGAAGTAAAGTAATTTTGAACTTGACAACATCCAAAACGCAGCAATTCTGCGAGACGTCCTCAACTTTTGAACTTGACAACATCAAAAACAAAACAATTCTGCGAGACTTCCTTCAAAAATGGAAAGTTGAGTGCAGCGCTGACAGCCTCGTACCAATGCGTTTTGCGATTTTTCTAGTCCACCTATCTAAAGTACTGCGCCTGCCACGAAAAATTGATGCCAAGTCATACGAAGTGCTGCACCTGTCACGCAAAATCATCTTAGCAAACCTGCAGATCTGATGCTCCAAAATGCAACCCCTCTCAGGAAATGAGCGCCCTGACCTCCTAACATCTCTCATGAACATATCTTTTGTACTGCGCCTGCCACGGAAAATGCATCTTTGCAGATCCTCTTCAAAAGTCCCACGCCTGCCATCGTTTTTGGAAATGCTACAAGACCTTCACGTTTCTCTCACTTTTTGACAAGATCGACAATCCCTTGCACCTGCCACGCGGAACGACATCTGAGCGTCCAAAAGTGACGCGAACATGTGGTGTTTTGTACATTTTGACTTCGAAATGTGCTTCGCGCCACAACGGCGTGCACTTTTTTGACATCTCAACTTCCAAAAGTGGTCCGACGCTGGTGTGCTTTGTACATTTTGACTTCTAAATGTGCTTCGCGCCACAACGGCGTGCACTTTTTCGATATCTCAACTTCCAAAAGTGGTCCGACGCTGGTGTGTTTTGTACATTTTGACTTGGAAATGTGCTTCGCGCCACAACGGCATGCACTTTTTCGACATCTCAACTTCCAAAAGTGGTCCGGGGCTGAAGTGTTTTGTACATTTTGACTTGGAAATGTGCTTCGCGCCACAACGGCTGTTGAATTGCGTGAGTGGGGTGTGTTCCGATTTGGAAATCCAACAAGTGGTGGAACAGTTTTCTTACATGTCCAAAATGTATTTCCTCGTTTTCCTCTACTCATGAATTTTGTTTCTCATTGAAGCACATGTTGAAGGGGTCAAAAGCACGGCCCAAGAGTCAAAGCTGAACATTGTCGACCGACACGAACTGAATTGACTGAGACTGAGATGATTTCCCTGGTGAAACATCTTATCAAAAAAGTTTTTTTGTTTGTGGAATGTAATCTCAAGGCATCTCCAGAGGTAAAGGTTTCTGAAGTGACATGTTGATATGAACTGTGTGGGAAATTGTGTTAGAAAGGTTTTTAAGGTTTGGAGAAACAGTAAAAGAAAACTTGATTTTTTGACAGACACGTTGACTAAGTTGACCGATATATTGAACCTTCAAAAAATCCAAAATGTCTCTCATACATCTTAACATATCTCCCAGACATCTTAACATGTCCCTCAGACATGTTGCCTGAAAAAATGCCAAGATGTCTCTCAATCATCTTAACATGTTTCCCAGACATCTTAACAGTCTTAACATGGCACGCAAACATCCTGCCTGAAAAAAATGCCAAACTGTCTCTCAGATACTTTCACGTGTCTCTCAGACATCTTAACATACCTCTCAGACATCTTGCCGGAAAAAAAAAAAAAACATGATGTCTCCCACAGATTTTAACATATCTCTCAGGCATCTTGCCCGTTAAAAAAAAAAGTCTCCCAGACATCTGAACATGTCTCTCAAACATTTTCCCTGAAAAATGCCAAGGTGTCTCCAAGACATCTTAACATGCCTCTCAGACATTTTGCCTGAAATAAAAATACAAGACACATTGCCTGAGAAAAATGCCAAGATGTCTCCCAGACATCTTAACATGTCTCCCACATATCTCTCCGACAGCTTACTTAACATGTCCCCCAGACATCTGAACATGTCTCTCAGACATCTTGCTTAGAAAAAATGCCAAGATGTCTCCCGGACATCTTAACATGTCTCCCAGACATCTTAACATGCCCCTCAGACATCTTAACATGTCTCCCAGACATCTTACCAGTACCAGAAGAAATGTGGCAAGATGTCTCTCAGACATCTTAAAATGTCTCCCAGACATCTTAACATGTCGCCCAGACATCGTGCAGTTTTTTTGTATTATCAGAAGTGGTGGAACAGTCGAAGGTGGCAAAAAATAAGTGGTGGAAACACTTTTTTCCACTAAAAATAAGTGGTGGAACGCACAGAAAAATATTTGAAAAATAATATGTCTCCCAGACATGTTAAGATGTCTGGGAGACATCTTACGTTGTCTGAGACACATTTTGGCATTTTGTTCAGGCAAAATGTCCGAGAGACATGTTAAGATGTCTGGGAGACATGTTAAGATGTCTGGGAGACACCTTGGCATGATTTTCAGCCAAGGTCTCTGAGAGACATGTCAAGATGCCTGGGAGACATCTTGGGATTTTTGTCCGGCAAGATGTCTGGGAGACATGTTAACATGTCTGGGAGACATCTTGGCATTTTTTCAGGCAAGATGCCTGAGAGGCATGTTAAGATTTCTTATGCAGACACCTCGGCATTGTTTTCAGAGAGACATGTTAAGATGTCTGGGAGACATTTTTCTCGCAAGATTCTGAGAGACACGTTCAGATGTCTGGGTGACATCTTGGCCTTTTTTTCAGGCAAAATGTCTGTGAGAAATGTTAAGATATTACCTTGCCTGTGAGGCATCTTGCTTTTTGTCCAGGCAAAATGTCTGAGAGACATGTTAAGATGTCAAGGAGACAGGCCAAGATTGTTGGGATACATTTTTTTTCAGGTAAGGTGTTTGGAGAGACATCGGGCTTCAAACTTTCAGCAATTTCCTGGAGAAACAGCCTAAAATGTTTTTGCAGACCGACTGTGGCAAACTTTTCAAAAGATAATCTACAAACTATTTTAAGATGTCCCAGACATCTTGTCTGAACAAGTGCAACATGTTTTGGGAAATGTTTTGCTATTTCAGGTTGCCCGATTTGTTAGAAGTTTGAAGTATCAGTGACTCTACCCTGTTCTTTGCAGCACATTTCAGCGCCAACTCACTGACACATCAATCATACCTGGAAGTAAGTGGAAGCCATCAACTACATGTTTGATTGAATTTCTCAATATTCTACAAACTTTTCTTGGATAAGTTGCAGGGAAACAGAAGTTTTTGGAGCAAAGACGGTCTTGACACCAGGGAGGTGCCATCAAGGGCGAAAGAGTCATCAGCGTGTCAGGGGCTGGCAAGGGGTCCATGAATTTCAAGAAATCACTTTAGATATCATTGATATCATCATTGGCACATATAGGAAGGCAGCCCCTCATGAAACCACCAGGGTTTGAATCTTGTACGTTGGTGTGTGTTTTACTCCCAGGTAGTTTTCAACACTTATTCCTGACCAGGGTGGTTTCCACCACTTATTTTCTTCTAAAAATCAGGGCTCACGAAATTCAATAACAACGGCGTGCAATTTTTCATCTCTCATCTGGCCAGCTGGCCAGCGAGCCTACTTTTCGACCCTCCGGAGCCACAAATCATCGGAAAAACACAGTGTTTCGCGACTTTCCTACCTTTTCGCGCATCTTCTTTCTTCTGACTCTTTCTCTTCTCTGATCTTCTCTCTTCTAATCTTTCTCTTCTCTCTGCCTCTGCCCTGCTCTGCTTTTCATCTGTCCATATTGTCGGAAGTTTGACTTCTAAACTTCCTTCGATGATTGATTAATTGGATATGTATGGCAAAATAGTTGAAAAAAGGTGGCTAATCATTTATAGAAATAACATGTTGTCTGGAAATAATTGAAGATATATGTCGACAATGATTGAACGATAAAATGTTCTTGTTGAATGCAGTTGCTTTGGCTATATTGCAAGAAGATATCCTAAGCTCCTTAAAACTTTATATGACATGGTTGCCCTCCAGTAAACTAACATAGTAATCTAATTACTGTAATATGATTGGGATTGGTGATTGATATCAAACTCATCTGAGGGGGCTATATTTTCAGGATGGGTCCCCCAGCACACCTAACATGCAGCTAAGGACATTGACATGCCGAACCCCAAACAATCTCAAATAGCCGGGAAAAAGAAAACAAGTGCATTCCTTCCTTGATGGCTAAAAATAAGTTTGTGAACCTATGGTTTGAGTTATCATCTCCAAACTAAATCAAAATTGATGTTCCACCTCTTTCAACTCTCACCTGTGAGACTGTTCAAATCCTAAGCTCTTCACCTCACCGTTGCCTAAAACACTCAACACGTGTCGCGAGTGACCTCGGCGATGCCGAAGATGCACGGCAGCATCATCAGCAAAGTGATAGCCATGATGGCGGCAAGCCTGGGGATGGGATGGCGAGCCGAATGAGAATGGAATTTTTTGACATATGGAATGTCCCCAAAGATGCAACTAGTTGCCATGGGCGCTGCAGGGCGCCTGGGTGTTTTGTTGGTTTTTGTGTTAATTCTTATTTTTGCTGATGGCGTGGGTTGGGGTGGGGCCCCCAAGATAGCTAAGTTGGTTTATAACTCCAATAACTATCGTTTATGGTACTTATAACTATAGTTAATGGGGTTTATAACCATCTTATAACTGGGGGGGCCCACCTTGTATGGAATGTCCCCAAAGATACAACTAGTTGCCATGGGCGCTGCAGGGCGCCTGGGTGTATTTCCCGAGAGCGTCTGAGCGCAGGGTTCTTCCAATAGTGGGGGTCTGTAAAACATATTCTCATCTTCACATCTCTCATTTTCACATCTTCTCATCTTCACATCTTCTCATCTTCACATCTTCTCATCCTCACATCTTCTCATCTTCACATCTTCTCATCCTCACATCTTCTCCTCTTCGCATCTTCTCAGCTTCAAATCTTCATCACATCTTCTCATCACATCTTCTCATCTTCTCTTCTCACATCTTCTCATCTTCACATCTTCTCATCTTCACATCTTCTCATCTTCACATTTTCTCATCTTCACATCTTCTCATCCTCACATCTTCTCATCTTCACATCTTCACATCTTCACATCTTCTCATCCTCACATCTTCTCATCTTCACATCTTCTCATCCTCACATCTTCTCATCTTCACATCTTCTCATCTTCACATCTTCTCATCCTCACATCTTCTCATCTTCACATCTTCTCATCTTCACATCTTCTCATTTCTCATCATCTTCTCATCTTCACATCTTCTCATCCTCACATCTTCTCCTCTTCGCATCTTCTCAGCTTCAAATCTTCACATCTTCACATCTTCTCATCATCACAACTTCTCATCCTCACATCTTCTCATCTTCACATCTTCACATCTTCTCATCCTCACATCTTCTCATCTTCACATCTTCTCATATTCGCATCTTCTCAGCTTCACATCTTCTCATCTTCACATCTTCTCATCCTCACATCTTCTCATCTTCACATCTTCTCATTTTCACATCTTCTCATTTTCACATCTTCTCATCTTCACATCTTCTCATCCTCACATCTTCTCCTCTTCGCATCTTCTCAGCTTCAAATCTTCACATCTTCTCATCATCACAACTTCTCATCTTCACATCTTCTCATCTTCACATCTTCTCATCTTCACATCTTCTCATCTTCACATCTTCTCATCATCTTCTCATCATCTTCACATCTTCACATCTTCTCATCCTCACATCTTCTCAGCTTCACATCTTCACATCTTCTCATCAAATCTTCTCATCTTCACATCTTCTCATCCTCACATCTTCCCCTCTTACCCTCTTGCCCTCTTGCTCTCTCCTTCTTTTCTATTTCTCTCTTGAAGGCGCGGGGCAGTGCCAACGAGACTGCACGAAATGCAATCCTTTCGCACGAAATGAGGTTCGATCGCCAAAAACTGCGGTAAAATTGCGATTTCAAGTCGTCCAGCGCAACCCTTTCGCACGAAATGAGGTTCGATCGCCAAACACTGCGGTAAAATTGCGATGTCCAAGTCGTCCCGCGCGTTTCGCACGTCGAGGTTCGATCGTCAAAAACTAAAGTAAAATTGCGATGTCCAAGTCGTCCCGTCGCAACCCTTTCGCACGAAATGAGGTTCGATCGCCAAAAACTGAGGTAAAATTGCGATTTCAATTTGTCCCACGCAACCCTTTCGCACGAAACGAAGTTCGATCGCCAAAAACTGAAGTAAAATTGCGATTTCAACTTGTCCCACGCAACCCTTTTGCACGAAACGAGGTTCGATCGCCAAAAACTGAGGTAAAATTGCGATTTCCATGTTATCCGGCGAAGTATGGAAAAGCTTCTGTGTGTAAGAGCTTTTGTGTGTAAAAGCGTCTGTGTGTAAAAGCTTCTGTGTGTAAAAGCTTTTGTGTGTAAAAGTGTTTGCGATGCAAACTATTGTCTTGGTCTTGTGCTATATTGTCTTGATACTCCTCTTCTCGTCTGCCTATAACACATCTTTAATATATTGTTTTGTAATATGGTGTCTCCATACTAACAAGAGAAGACCCTGCTCCTCTACGCTCTCGGGCCATCCGTCGTCTAGCGTTGCTTTTTGTTTTAATTACTATTTTTGCTGATGGGGTGGGTTGGGGTGGGGTGGGATGTTAACGTTCATGTTACGCTCATGATGTTAAGTTGATCATGGGGTGGGGTGAGGTGGGATGTTAACGTTACACTCATGATGTTACGTTGATCATGGGGTGGGGTGGGGTGGGATGTTAACGTTCATGTTATGCTCATGAAATTACGTTGATCATGGGGTGGGGTAGGGTGGGGTGGGATGTTAACGTTTATGTTGCGCTATGTTGCGCTCATGATGTTACGCTCAGAAAAAAGTTGCAGGTTTTGAAACAATAGGCCCACCGGAAGATATTCCAACATGTGCTGTCCTTTCGTTTATTTCAACACCAACATTCTAGGCTTGCTTGCTCAAAAGCCGTCCGCCGCAAGAACCATGGGAGAAGATCCAAAATTCAAAGCTTCTTCAAAAGGCCTACTGCTATCTATGCTGATGGTGCTTGTGCATGGTCCAAAGCTGCGACGGTTTTGAAAGTTCCTTTTTTTCAAGCGAATCATCAGCAGAAAGAATATGCTTCCACAATTCGTAAAGTGCCCATTGTCGAACACAGTGGAACACAGACCATTGATTCAGATTGGAAATCGTTGGAGTGTTGGCTTCCCAAGGAAGCTTCCAAAAAAAAAAGCACTTGTGACTTGGTGACCCAATCCTCACAATTGGAGCAAAGGGTCTGGCAATGGATGTGGCGCAGGACAAAGCTGCGCGGCAATAATTCAGAGAAACTTGCAGCCATGAGCAAATTGTTCAATGGTTGAGGTAGCTTTTGGGACGTCAAAAAACCGGCGTGCAAGCCTGCTTACGCAATTCCAATGGGAAATTCACGAGCGCACCCTTAAAACCACCAGGCGCCTATCAGCGCCGTTCCCATATAGCTATATGAATGGTTTACCATGGTGAATGAAGTTGTATAATATGGAATGATATGTAAAAGTATGGTTTGATATAATTATATCTATATTTATGGTTATATGTTTATCTAATTGGGTCATGTATTTATCAATTATATTTATACCTGAAACCATATTTATATTTACATTTACATCTTATATCTATAACTATATCAATATCTATATCTACATCTATATGGATCATCGAAGGAAGTTTAGAAGTCAAACTTCCGACAATATGGACAGATGAAAAGCAGAGCAGGGAAGAGGCAGAGAGAAAAGAAAGATTAGAAGAAAGAAGGGTAGAAGCGGAGAAAGAGCAAGAAGAAAGAAGATGCAGATGCGCGAGAAAGAAGGAAACACTACACTACACGACAAGACACGACACGTCACGACACTACACTACACTACCTTCCACTACCTTCCACTACCTTCCACTACACTACACAACACAACACTGCACTACACTACCTTCCACTACCTTCCGCTACCTTCCACTCCACTCCACTCCACTCTACTCCACTACACTACACTACACTGAATGACACTGCACCACAGATAGACAGGTAGACAGATAGACAGATAGATGGATAGACAGATAGACGGGTAGACAGATAGACAGATAGATAGATGGATAGACAGATGGACAGGAAGACATATAGACAGACAGACAGATAGATAGATAGATAGCTAGATAGATAGATAGATAGCTAGATAGATAGATAGATAAATAGATAGATAGATAGGTAGTCAGAGAAAGAGAGAGAAAGAGTGAGAGAGATCAATCACCTTTCGATCCATCAGTGGCTTCGCTCTGCCATCCCTGATTCACAACAACCAACCTCTCCTATAGGTTTCCTATTTTTGAAACTTCCGCCACCGCCTTGTGCGGTACTACTGGTATTTGTTTGTATACCAGAGCTAATACAAAAATCGATAATTCGAATACTTTTAAATTTAGGCCTAAAATTAGAATTCATTTTTTCATCATTAAATTTTAAACACAATTTTAAAACTATTTATTTGTTCAATGGGGTATATATACTTTAAAAATCATAAGCATTTAAAAAATGCGGATAATATTTTACAATAAAGCGGGCGTTTTCTTTGTAAGTGCTCGCCTGCCATGCCTGCGTGCCTGCGTGCCTGCGTGCCTGCCTGCCTGCCTGCCTGCCTGCGTGCCTGCGTGCTTGCGGCCTGGCCTGCCTGGCCTGCCTGGCCTGCCTGCTTGGCCTGGCCTGGCCTGGGCCTGGCCTGCTGGCTGGCCTGGCTGCCTGGCTGCAAAGAATGCACAGCGCAGAAGCACGAGGCAGGCACACCATATCGATGCACACGTGTTGCTTATGGCACGCGACTGCCCTCTTTGTAAGCAAGCATAAAAAATCCACGGTGGAGTCTGCACAGAGTTTGCTTATCGTGTGATGCAATCAAACAATGTTTTGCTTGCACGAAGAAGCTCACAAAAGAATATTTCACTGTGCCAGCATGGAAAGCAAGCAAGCCAAAGAGGAGGGTATGCCTGCATTGTCAAAAAAGGGAAAATGGAAACGCGCACGCTGCCACCGAGAAATGCCAGCGCAACAGTTTTCCCATTAGAGCAAAATGCCGGGCCAGGATGGCAGGCAAACGTGTAATGCTTGTCGTGACCTTGTCGTGCCCTTGTCGTGCCCTTGTCGTGCAAGTGACTCTAAGCGGCTGCCCGGTCTAGCTCACAACGTCTGCAACCTTTGCGCAAAAGGCTTCGCCTTCGCCAAATTCTCCGCGAAACGTGGGAAGCGATCGCCGAGAACTTGCGCGCTAGAGAGAAAAAAACCACCACTGCAACCGATTTCCCAGAAACAACAAAAGAGGACACTGTCAAGAAGTAACAAATACCACATTACGAATGTACGGTGGGTGGAAAGAATCGTGCACCACTCGCAGCCCCGGATGCGAGCAACCCTCGCGCTCCCCGTTTAACATTGAAGGGTTACAACGCTGCTGAAGAAAAAGAAGTTGAATGGACATAATCCTGCACCACCTGAAGGATCCCCGAAAGCAACATTGATTAGGGGGGCGAGGGGGTGACAGTGTCTCTCTGCTACAGCTATGTGCGGTTACTGGTGCAGGATTTCCTCCATCCACAGTACTGTGAACAGTGTGTTGCATAATGTTGTTGCCCAATGCATGCTGGCATCCACCAAACTGCTACCCACCAAACAAAGACGCAACAGATTTGTGTTATTTGCTTCATGGCTGTGCAAACGCAAGCTTGAACCAATTCCCTTTTGCACATGCCAAAAGCCCAACAAAGTTTCATCGTCAAAGCTGCTACCCACCAAACCAAGACGCAACAGATTTGTTTTATTTGCTTTATGGCTGCGCAAACGCATGCTTGAACAAATTCCCGTTTGCACATACCAAAACCCTTTCATCTTCGCAGCTGCTACCCACAAACAAAGACTGCGCCTGCACGCCTCCAGAAGCAGAATTGCACAAACTGCGTGTTTTGCAGTGCACGTACAGTGCACGCACAGTGCACGCTACAGTGCACGCCACAGTGCACGGCCACAACACACTGCAAATACCATGGGATGAGCGTTTTTTTGACAATTCACAAAAAAAATGCAAAAATATGGTTCTTTTTGTTTTCGCATCATTTTGGGGCAAATACGTGGTATTTACAGCGTTTTGTGGCCGTGCACTGTGGCGTGCACTGTAGCGTGCACTGTGCGTGCACTGTACGTGCACTGTGCAAAACATGATGTTTCTGCACCCTTATATTTTCATCAGCAGAAAAGTGCAATTTTGCTTCTGGAGACGTGGAGGCACATTCAAGAATAGTGCACCATGCAAGACACACAGCGTCTGATCTCCAATTTTTGCCCACATGGGGAGCAGATGCTGCAATGTTGCTTCTTTGTTTGTGGGCAGCAGCTGTGAAGATGAACGTGTGTTTGGATTGGGGTTTTGGCACGTGCAAAAGGGAATTTGTTGAAGCTTGCGTTTGCACATCCATAAACCAAATAAAACAAATCTGTTGCGTCTTTGTCTGGTGGGTAGCAGCTTTGAAGATGAAAGTGCGTTTGGATTGAGGTTTTGGCAAATGCAAAAGGGAATTGGTTCAAGCTTGTGTTTGCACATCCATAAATCAACAAATCTTCCCCGGGTGCTTCAAAAAAAAACACCCATCAGAAGCAGAAAAAACAGTTTCGCCAGACAGTATGTCTGCCCAGCCTGCGGCAAAGCTACAAAATCCACAATAGTTACCGGAGAAGTGCAAACACAAGGACACTGCGGATGACGGTTTCGTGTCAAGAATGGTGCAGTATGTAGGCAGTACACGCATTATTGCCCGGCCTGCAACACGAAGGTGGCATCAACAAAATCACACGGACGAATTCAATCGAAGCACAGAAATGACACAGGACGATATTGTAAAACATATCAGTGGACCAGTGCCGGCGCAAAGTAAGTTGCTATATTTGAATCATTATTCTCCTCCTCCTCCTCCTTCTTCTGTTGTTGTTGCTGCTGCTGCTGCGGCTGCTGCTGCTGCTCCTGCTGCAGCTGGTTGTGGCTGCTGCTGCTGCGGCCAATATTTCTATATAAGTATACAAACATATATATAAGTATATATATATAAGTATATATATAAATAAGTATATACATATATATATGTTGCTAAGTTCCATCCATTTGCGCCAGAAACCGACCATTCACCAATAGCATCGTCAGTAGCCGTCGCCACCCTTTTGCCAGGAAACTGCAACTTGCACACGCCCTGCACATCATCCCCTTGCCATGACAGCCTGAGGTGGCCATGGATAAAACATCTGAGTACCTCTGATTGTCATTGGGTTAGTTGCCAAGGGAAAATCTCAGCGGAACAAAACGGTTATATGTGGATGTTGTTGCTATTGGTGTTGCTGTTGCTATTGGTGTTGCTGTTGCTGTTTGTGGTTGTTGTGGTTGTTGTGGATCTTGTGGTTCTTGTGGTTCTTGTGGTTGTTGTTGTTGTTGTTGTTGTCGTTGTCGTTGTCGTTGTTCGTTGTCGTTGTCGTTGTCGTCGTCGTCGTCGTCGTCGTTGTTGTTGTTTTTTTTTTTTGTGGTGGTGGTGGTGGTGGTGGTGGTGGTGGTGCGTGGTGGGTGGTTGGGTGGTTGGGTGGTTGGGTGGATGGTTGCGGTTGTGGTTGTGGTTGTGGTTGTGGGTGTGGGTGTGGGTGTGGGTGTGGTTGTGGTTGTGGTTGTGGTTGTTGTTGTTGTTGAACTTATTGACCTTGTTGACATTGTTGAACTTGTTGAACTTGTTGAACTTGTTGGTTTTGTTCCTCTTCCGTTTCTTCTTCTTGTTCTTGTTGTTGAATCTGAAGTTGAAGTTGAACTTAAACTTGAATTTCTGCTTGAAGGTGAAGTTGAAGTCGGATTTGTTGTTGTGTTGTTGCTGCTGTTGTTGTTATTGTTGTTGTTCTTGTGGTGGTGGTTCTTGTTCTGGTTCTGGTTCTGGTTCTTGTTCTTGCTGTTGTTGTTGTTGTTGCTGTTGCTGGTCGTTGTTGTGGTGGTTGTGGTTCTGGTTCTGGTTCTGATTATTGTTGTTGTTGTTGTTGTTGTTGTGGTCGCCGTCGTTGTTGTTATGGTTGTAGTTGT